CCTGCGGACACACTGACCAGTCCCTTCAATGGACCAGGACTGGACAGTCCAGCAGACACAATGACCGGCCCTCCACGACCAAGACTGGCCACTTCCATCACAAAAAATATTTTTTATTCAATGTTTTTGACAAGTAATGAAGTCAATGTCAAACATACACTCATGCATACTATTAAAGTCTATGTACAGTATAACCTCCTTCCTGTTCCGGTCATGGGTCTGTCCTTTGAAAGCCCACACCTTTCAGGAAAACCCGAAATGGCCTGGGCTCCCATGAACCTGGAGTCAGACTGCCATCCTCTCTCCCCAGACGAACCTGATCGCTGGGAGCTTCCACGATGGAGTGATGCTGTACAGCCTGGCGCTGAACGAGTCGCTGGCTGAAGGAGAGATCCCTCCCAAGGGGGAGACAGTCACCAAGAAGATGTGGAACCGCACTTACTATGGTGAGTATGGGCCAGAACCAGATCAGAACTGGGTTGGAAACTGGGTCAAAACCAGGATAGAACCACAATAAGGCTACACTATATAGATCATCGTGGTCAAACCTGCTACTACTGTACAGTATGTACCCATACTATATATACAGTATATACAGTACCTGACCTCAGCCACAGCCCCAGGTCCAGCCCCATACTTAAGCCTAAAGCTAGCAGCAGCCCTGCCCAGCCAGGCTTGCTGATCCGAATCAGGGCCAGAGCTGGGCCAGTGGGCAACCGGCCCCTCACAGTTCTGCATGTCTACTCCTGTGTACTACAAGGACAGTCTGGGTCTGAGCTCCTTGAACACCAGTACTGCCTTCCACCTCCATCGAGCCAGGAATAGGCCAGGGCTCTCCTTGAGGCCCAGGTCCTGCAGGTTTTCTACGGGATTTTTAATTCGCAATGGATTGAGAGCTGAAAGGCATCTCTATTAATTTGTTGGGCAATAATGACTTTGCTGAAGTGACTGAGGCCTCGAGGAATGTCGCTCCCTCTTGTTGTCATGGACGGCGCCTCCTGAAAAGCCAGCAGAGATCGGAGCTGTTCAGGAACAGTGCTAATAATCTCTAGCCTTGGCTCCAGTGCTGACCCACCCTGTTACCAGTACAGGCCTCAGGCCTGACAAGACCCGCCTCTGTCCCTCACCCTGGGCCTGATTCATCGTGTAGTGAGCTCCTCCCAGCATCCCTTTCTCCTTTCCTTCCCTTCTTCTCTTCTCCGAGCTTTTTCTTTGACATTCCCACCGACCGATGGCTATCTCTGTTAACCCTCTCCCACCCTGCAAATCCTGGCAGTGCCAATGGCTCGCCCTCTGGGCTAACCGCTGTGCCCCCCTCCTGCTGACCGGCACAAAGAGTCTCCTCTCCGCTTCTCTTTCTTGCGAAAGCACAAGAAAGCTCAGCCCACGAGCATAATCGTCAGCCAAGCTCAAAACCACAGGATGGGTGAATGAGAATGTTTTTACTGATCGTCGTCTGTAAAGCTAGCATCCTGCAATGCTCGTGCCCTGCTCCCGGAAGTATCGTGCTGACAGGTGTTTCTTCTCCTGCCTGGAAAAACAACACGGAGTAGAAGTGCAGACGCTGCGAATTCTCTCATCGGCCCCCCTGAGCCGCAGCCCCCATGTCACACTGAGGCAGAACAGCGCTGCCCTCCCCAGCACGTCAGCACTGAGCAGTGTGGAACACATCACCGGGGGAGAAAGGCTGGGGGCCTCTCCTTCAGTCCTCTTTCATTCTTCTTTGTTCTGGATTCTGCCTCCATACCGCACTGTCCCAAACTGCAACTGGCCATCTCCAGACTGTAGGGTTACAGTGTGACCCAGACTGGACCAG